TAACCTTGTGTGTCATGTTACATATCCAGAGTTTATTGTCTCTAACCTTGTGTGTCATGTTACATATCCAGAGTTTATTGTCTCTAACCTTGTGTGTCATGTTACATATCCAGAGTTTATTGTTCCTAACATTGTGTGTCATGTTCCAAATCCAGAGTTGATTGTTCCTAACCTTGTGTGTCATGTTACATACCCAGAGTTGATTGTCTCTAACGTTGTGTGTCATGTTACATATCCAGAGTTGATTGTTCCTAACCTTGTGTGTCATGTTACATACCCAGAGTTGATTGTCTCTAACGTTGTGTGTCATGTGGGTGAAAGCAGGTGATCAACTGGAAGAGCTCGCTGCACATTCCCCCTCAAGCTAAGCTGAGCCCTGAGGCGTCGGATCTGATCGTCAAACTGTGCCGTGGTCCAGAGGATCGTCTTGGCAAGAATGAAGATGAGATCAAAGCTCATCCTTTCTTTAGAAGCATCGACTTCTCCAGCGACCTGCGGCAGCAGGCGGCGCCGTACGTCCCCACCATCGCCCACTCCACGGACACCTCCAACTTCGACCCCGTGGACCCAGTGAAGCTGAGGAGCAGCGAGGCCGAGGGCAACCACAACGACACCCTGAACGGTTGGTTCCGCAACGGGAAGCACCCCGAACACGCCTTCTACGAGTTCACCTTCCGCCGCTTCTTTGACGACAACGGCCACCCTTACAGCTGCCCCAAACCCATCGACTACGAGGACTACAGCGAAGACGAGGCGGAGAGCGAGGAGCTGGAGGCAGCTGGCTGCTCCACAAATCCAGGCCAAGACCTGGTCTACGTGTAGCTCCTGAGCCCAGCCCAGCTGCCTGTATATATGTTTGTAAAGCACGGGGGAGGGGCTTGGAACGATACAGCATTTTAAACTTTTCACATAGGAGAATATTATTGTAGGAGCATTCAGAGCACTGCAGACCTTTACTCTGCAGGGTCACAAAAAGCTGAAACTGAACTGGTTTAGTCAGCAGAGAATGGAGACTGTTTAACTCTGTCAAGTGTATTAAATGATTAAAACACAAAATATTATTGTTTAAAAGTCAATTCAAGCATTAAAGTAAAGCTTTAATGTTTAAATTATTTTTTCTGTATATAAAAAATCATGCTAAGTCAACTTCAGTTAACATTCAAATCCCAAACCCAGTATGAATTAGTTAAAATTTACAGGTGATGCTGGAGTAGAAGCTGCTTTAGAATTTGAATTCTTGTTAGATTTGAATTTATTTGTAAAAACTTGTTTGACGATGGGGTTTTAGTAAGTTAGCTGATGATTTTGCAGAGATAAATGGCTCTAGTGGTTCGTTGCTGTGCCTTTAAATAACTTTCACCAAACGATGTGWGGGGTAATAATCAGGCTGGCATTTTAAAATGAGTAGTTGATTGAACTACAGTAGGTTTTTATTTTTCTAATTTATATCTAAATTGTATTTATAAATGAAGTTGTACACAGTGGATGTAAATATTTTCTGTACCTTGTGACGTTTTCTTCCTTTGGCAGGTCCTTGTGTCCACTGCTGCTCGTTTCTCTTAATAATAACTTTGTTTTTAACACTAAATCACAAAGTCTGATTAGATTTAAAGTTGATTGTTTCAGCTGATGTAACCTCATGATACCGCTCTGATTGTTTTTCTGTTTTTGTAGGAATGATGTCTGAATGTAGTTCTTACAGATTTAATGGTGACCACTGACATTCTGCACTAGTTTTGTTTGAATTGTGAGAAATTTTTATTTTCCTGTACATTGTTGCTCTGAAAGATTTGGGAAAAAGGACTTTCAATAAAACCAGGTTACTGAATTAGTCAAGTAAATTTTTATAATTTTCTTTTGAATGGATGGTTCCTTTTTGATCATTTTACATTTTGTACAACTAAGAAACTACATTTTGTAAACAAAATCACAGGTGTCTTGTTTTAGTGCATTTGTGTAAAACTTGAATTTGAAAATGTAAGAAAATATTTAAATCAAACATTCTAAGCTTGTTTATGTTGGAAGCATGGCATGACTTACTGATTAAAGAAGGACTGTTTCAATTACACCACAGCATTTTTAGGTGAGCAAAACTATTGGAACATGTGACTGACAGGTGTTTGTTGACCAGGTATTACCTTTAAGGTTGATTCATCAAACATTAAATAGTTCTGACTAGGCTACCTTTTGTAAAACAAATTTTTGTGCAAGTTTAATTCTGGCAGCAATCCCTGAATAACTGAGCAGCCAAAGTTTAATAGCTCATAATTACTAATTACCGTAGTTTACATTAATGTACAAATATAAAGGAAAAACTATATTTTTTAAAAATCCTGATGGTTTTGGTTCAAAGTTCATCGTGTTCTGTTCAAAACCTGAGTGGTGTAAGACTTAATTACAATAATTACAATTAAATTTTCTGTGTTCTTAAACGAAGCACAAAGAAAAACTGCTCTGAGCTCAATTAGGCCACCAGAGGGCGTGAGAGGACATTTGACTCCAAGTCATAATTTATAAAATGCTAAATCTTATTTTTATGATATGAAAGAAAATTTTTACCTTTTATTAATCCGAGTTATACTGTCTACAAACCAAGGGTTAAATTTCTAGTATTATACATGAATAAATACAGCAAGTTTCAAATTATGATCCATGAAGACAAAATTAGTTTTTACATAAATATGATTCCTTTCTGATCTCACAAATGTTTTCTGTATTTGACTGATCAGACTACTTTATGTGAAAGASAGAAAAGTCCCGGTGGAATCAGCCAAGTGTTCCACATACGATACATTTTATATCATTTTAAATCATTTTAATGTTCACCTGTTCAGGTGATACCTGTGTAAACACTGTATCAGAACTTAGGTCCAAGTTTTTAAACGCTGTCAGAATTAGAAAGTGTTGAATCCTAAAATGATCCGAAGCACCAGTACTGTACACCAGTACACCAGTACAGTACACCAGTACAGCACATAATGAAGGACAAACAGGTTCACTTAAACAAGCATATTTTTAATGGATCTGCAAAAACTGTTTGAATTTCCAAAGAGAAGTCGTGTGCCTCCCGCCCAGTCACTCAGTGGTAAAACATTACACAAGGTTACAGAAACGTTTCCAACCCAAAGAAAACTGCATGCAGGGAAAAAAATAAAGATAAAGCAAACAAATAAAACATCAATAAACAGGACATACTTTATAACACCGTTGTCTTGGCTGAAGAAATTCAAACGCTTTAGCTTCAGTTCTGCTTCTTCGTTAAGAGTCTGAACTGACAGAATATTAAAGTGTATTTCCATTAGACAGATGTGGCTCCACCCACCACACAGCCCCGCCCACTTTCTTTCATATAAGGCACAAGACAAAATAAACCCCTACATACAAGAGGAGCTAACCACGCCTCTGCCACCTGGTAAAGTGGAACTAAACAGACGACAGGAAGCTCACCAAGTGTATAAAATGKTAATCCTAAGTGTTATTTCTTCCTCTTTACTTGGATTTCCTCTGAAAGGGAAGCTGTGGGTGGGCGGTGTTCAGGAGCATCAACCAGGTCAGCTCAGGCAAAGAAATATTAAAAATATCAGCTTGTCTTTTTATACTTTTCTTTTCTTAACCTTTTAAAACAAATGACAAGAAACTTGAGTGAATTTCTYTTTTTATCAGAAATAAAAATGATCAGATGCAGAAGAAGGTGGTGAAGGAGGATTAGACGAGTGAAGAAGTTTATTGTTTTATTCTGATAAAGAGACAGAGCGTCAGTGTCAGAGAAAACTCATGAGACAGGTTAGAGGTGACAGAGTTAGAGAGTGTGTGTGTGTGTGTGTGTGTGTGTGTGTGTGTGTGTGTGTGTGTGTGTGTGTGTGTGTGTGTGTGTGTG